ACTGGTCCGAGACCGGTGTTGAGAGTGCTGTCTCCGAGTGACACGTCGTTTTTTTTTTCAGTTTCATATGAGGTTTGTGCGAAAGTAAAGTACTTTTATTTCTGACAATGTCGAAAATTGTTATAAAGAAAAATTTGATTAGTATTAAAAACGTTCTAATACTCTGAATTATCGTTTACACATTTCTTTGCATAGCAGCCTTGAAATTTTCTCCTACATATTGATAATCTAAAATGTACACTGATACATTAAACTTCAAATGTTACTTCAAAAAATGTATAGGAAAACATTTTCAAGGCCATTTTATTGTACTATTTCATAGGGACAGTGTTGCTATTTCTTAAAGCTACAGCACTTATTTTTTCGTGTTAGGCATACGACTAGTACATAACTTAATAAAATGGCAACAGGGCAACAAGATATGGTGGTGGGATATTAGCCGAACCGAATGTCAGTGAATAAACCAGACTGTATAGCGATAGCAGGATATCTCAGTTGCCACATGTTCATTATGGAAGCACGGCTATGCCTAATTAAAAATAATAAGCACTAGATAGAAAGTTAGTTAAATTAGATAAAAGTTGCGCAGTTTTGTACTCATTAAAATAGTGCCGATACCTTTGACGTCTACAGGGAGATTCAAATAACGGACAAAAAATAAAAATTGTCATTTTTTTAAATTTACTAATTGTCCGATATTTTGAATCTCCTTGTATCAAATGTTTTTTGGCACCATTTTAATGAGCACAAAATTGCGCAACTTTTATCTAATTTAATCAACTTTCTATCTGTTACCGTTTAAGAAATAGCAATAATGTCCCTATGAAATAGGGACGCTGTAGAAAGAAAAGTATAAAAAATAATGAATTCTTATTTTCCAGGATAGATGGATGTAATTATTACATATTAGAACATAGTTTTCAAAACTAATCAACTTTTCTTTATAACCATCAAAAATAAAAGTAGTTACACTTTACTCGCACATGCACAAAATAATTCATATTTTTGATAAACCTTATACACGACTGAAAATATTTGATTAGTGATTGTATTTTAGGTTTTAGACCATGCAGAAGTTTTTAAATAAATAATAAAAAAGTTTTCCAGACAATTCAAACTGAAATAAACATACTGTATAATCGAATATAACTGTTGTTTTATTAAAAATTCAAACGAAATTTAATGTACATATATTTACTTCCTGAACATTAATCATAGGTTCACATAGATTTTTATATTTAAAAATTAGATTCTCAGGTTGTAGTTTAGGAATTCAGTTTTACAGCTTTCAGTCAATATACAATGCTTATTTTTTCGTGTTAGGCATACGACTAATATACAAGTTAATAAAATGACAACAGGACTACAGCCTGTCGTCGTCGACTAGAATTAGAAGATATGCTAGTGGAATATTATCCGAACCGAATGTGAGGCACAAAGCTAGAGAGGGATAATAGTTGCCACATGTTCGCTGTAAAAGCACGGCTATGCCTAATACAAAATAATAAGTACTGTATAGTCTCTCATTTGAAAACGTTTTTTTATCTTTCAAATTGAAATTTCTATGAACCAATTTATTCAACTGTCTTTTATATGATTCTCGAAATAACAATGGTATGACTAGGCTTTATATTTTTGGAATTTTAAGAGGAAAACATGATTGTATTTTAGGGGGTGATTTATTTTTAAATTAAAGTTTAACATAGTAGTCTGCAAAAGATTTAGTTTACAGAGTGAAATGAAGTAAATAAACGAATTAAAAAAGAAGTACTTATCATGGCTCAAATAAAACTCCTACCAATAATGGCCAAAAAAATTATACTGTGGACTAGGCCTTTTGCAGACTATAACCTAAATATTATTAATATAAAAAAATATTACAATGCTTAAAATCAATTTATTGAATTACGATGTAGATTTTTTTTATTTTATTGAGGTAATACTGGTGTTTTTGCCAAAGATCAAAGTACTTTTTATGAAAAAGCATCATTTATGTGGATCTGTTACTCTCGAATTATTAAAATAACATCTAATCTCGATTTTTTGAGAAAATGATGCAGTATTAAATTTTATCTGTGCTCTATTCCAATAGCTGTTTAAAAACAGGTCAATTAGATTGCTAGGAGTAGATATTTATTTGTTACTATGTGAAGTTTACCTATTTATACAATATTGATATTGTTTATATTATTAAATGCATTGTTACATTCCCTTATTTATTTATGAAATATATATTTATAGCACTTTAATGTTGTTTAAATATTAATCCTATATTTTATCCTATCTTGTTTGTTATTGTTCAAATTGAAGGAATTTTGCAAGAAGCCCCAATATAATCAGTTTCAAAAACCGAGTTTTCATCTTTTAAGGAAATATAAAACAGGCATTTTATCGTGAAAATGGATTATAAAGCTTGTGTAAATTTTTTAAAATTAAAGTAAAAACTGTCAACATACAATCTGTAAATTCGGGAATCCCAGAGTCTTGAAAATTACTTTCCTTTCAGTATACATTAATATTAAAAACAAATTATATATTTTATGATTTATTGTGAATATAATTTTACAGAACAATTTTCTTAGTATAAAAATATAAAACAACTTGTGCTTTAAAATTTAAGTATGGAATGTTATGAATTATAGGTTCAATTACGAACAACTACTAGACCAATTTTGTTTACAAAAACCGTGTTACATCCAGGTAGTTGCCAAATTATTACGAGAGTCTTGTTACAAAAATTATTTGTAGTTATAATTTTGAATTTACTTAACATAAGGCACAATAATACAACTTTCCCTGTAATTCATCTTATTATGAGTGAATTTTAATTTTAACCCCAAAGGCTGACTGAGCTTGTCCGAGGAAGGGCTATTATAATTATTTGCTGTGACGCTCCGGGGCGACTTACAGAAGATTGATGGTGCCATATGACTTACAGGTGAGGAAACGATAACGCTTGGCGGTTTATAATCTGGATGTTACATCAACAAATTAAATTACTTAAATTACAACGAATCATGCACAAATTAAAAATTCACATGGTTTGATCTAGGATTTGAAGTCGAGTGTCAATCTTAAGTGAAAACCGGCGATCGACACAACTGCGCTACCGAGACGTTTAAGAAAGCATTGGTACTTTTTATTGCAATTATTATTGTAGCTGAAATCGGAGTTGTACATAAATATGTGCTTGCACAATTCATCCCCACTCAATTTAGTAGATGTCTCGCTTTTTCTAATTCGAGCTCTGTCTGCCTAACATAGAAGACGAGCTGAAAATAAGCAAGAAAATAAGGGTTAATTATGATTGAATGAATTAGTCTAGTAGTTTTTTCGTTATTGATTTGGTTCAATTAGATGAAATCATTATCTACATGAAATATTTATGTGGTCATAAATAAATACTTTCAAAGGTATAATATGGCATTTTGTCTCTATTCATAAAAAATATAATATTAATGGAAAATCTATATACACAGATTTTTAGGGCCTAATGTAAAGAATTCATTAGAGGTGAGGGTCATATGTGAGGGTATAGAGTAAGGGTAGTGGAAGAAAACTTCTTTTATTTTTCACAGACTTATTTAATCAGCGACTGATTTCGATGTAGTTACATCATCATCATCGTCATCAGATCAGGCACACCTAGATGGATAATTATGGAGTCAATCGAAAAAAAAAAATAAGAAAAGATTAAAATTTTACCAAAACAGAAAACTAAGGACGAAAAAGAATTAGAAATTACTTAATAATTTGACTTAAATACTTAAGATAAGAGAGGTCATTAAATAATATAAAGGAACTAAAATTAGAGAAACAGTAAGAGTTGCTACTTTAGGTTGTGAAAACTAACAACAACAATCAATCAAATAAAATTGACATTAAACAAATAAAATATACATTTACAAGGAGGACTTACGACTAAAATGGAGTAAAATTGATTAAACAAATTTTCAAAACTCTTATCAATAAGAAACTTGAAGAAATTAAATTTAAAAAAATAGTGATACCAACTAAAAAGTTGTGCCCTCTATTTAAAACGAATTAAAACAATAAGAATAGACCATAGATTAATGTTTACATAAGTGAGGTATACATAGCCCTATGCATGAATATTGTAAAAAATAAAATAATAAGTATTTTACCCTTAATGAATGTTACGGAAGTAAAATTATTATATAATTTCCAATTTTCTCATCTTAAAAAAAAATCAATTACAATACATTGACTCAATTGTCCATCTAGGTGTATCTGATGATGATGTAACTGTATCAAAACCGGTCGCTGATTAAATAATTGAGAAATAAAGGACTTTTCTTCCACTACCCTTACTCTATAAGGAATTGTACAACTGTTTTAGCCAGTATGCATAAGATCAACAGAGTTGGGCAATATTATCACATCAGATTATGGCTTTATATATTATTGTATTAATGAAGTCATTATTTGTTTGCCAAACAAAGTTGGTAATAGACTAAATATCTAGTTTTTGACTGGTACCAAATTTCGTGGTATATTACATAAGAATATATTCGAGATAAAACTTTTTTTTAATAATGCTAAATAGTTTTTTTTTTAATACTGTTAAGTAACACACCGCCACTGGCGTCTATTTGTTACTTATTCATAATACCCAGTAATATATTATAGTGTTCCGCAAATTTTGCCCAACCCTGTACATAAAAAATGTCCAAATGGATCTGCTAATCTCTGCTATGTTGCAAAAGAAAAGTTATAAGTCATAAGATTTTTATAAACAGAAATAAAAACTTTCATATTATTATCACAATCAGTCACAATAAAGGCACAATTTCATTTTATGGACGGACACATTTTATAACATATTTTAAGATAGTAGTGGATATAATTGGATCAAATACATTTTCTTTATTTTTTTTTTTTTTTAATTAATTAAGAATACTAGAGTACGACTTAGAGGGAAAGCTCACTCACGCGACATGTCGCGCGCGGCAATACTTTTGATGTTTTTAAATGACTCAAAGCCCATTAATGCGGTTCTGTCGCGTGGTCATTTAAAAACATCAAAAGTATTGCCGCGCGCGACATGTCGCGTGAGTGGGCTTTCCCTCTTAGTTGCACCTTAAATGATTTTTCCCTGATTTTAAGTTGATAGTAAACATTACATATCAGTAATTCTTTTTTTAAACTATATTTTCATATTTTTCCTGAATTATGTTATATCCACTAACAGCAAATTAAAAATTACCTTATATTTAAAAAAAAATCAATCAAATATTTCGATACCTATATACAAATAATACTTTACATTATATTAAAAAAAAATACATAAAAAGCAATTCAATAATGTATCTGATACATATAAAAAATACCTGCACCTATAAAATTACTTAAAAATATTATATTAAAAAAATTTGATTCCTAAAATACTAACCATCAAAATTTGTACTTAAATTTTAATAAGGTGAATATATCAGTCAAAATAAATGCAAAATATTTTATGGATGGATAAGATTTAAAAAGAAATTCAATTAACTTCTAGAACACCATCAAGTTTGTACCACAGCTGCCATTTTCAGCTTTGTTTTTGAATTAAAATTTATAATATGGTGTTGCCCCCAATGTCCTAATTCTATTGATTTTACATTTCTGTATTATTAAACATTGTTACTCTAATATTAATAAAACTAGCTAATAAGAAAGAAATCCAGTTAATACAGGCTCCAGAAATGCCAAATATAAGGCACAAACCTGTATTTATAATACCATCCCGGTAGGCTCTACCTGAATCTGGTTGCATATAATCCATGAAGTCAAAAACTCCTTGACATCCTAATCGATTGTAAAGCACTGGTAAAACTGATCCATGTAGCCTTAGTAGTTTTTCTAAAGTAGAACGGTACTGATGACATGTCTGGTAGTAACCATCTAAATAAATGGCAAAGTGTACCAATGAATAAATAAAGAAAAGTAGAGATAAAGCTGAAACAGTGGCCCAATATGATGTAGGTAAGTGGCTGGTCACTTCCTGTGAGATAGCTTCTATTTGCACCGATTCTCCAGTACTGTAAAAAAATTAAAAATAAGGCCAATTATTAAAGCATGGAAGCATGACTTACTCTAATTTAGCTAACATTGTTCTTGTAGATCTGCCACTTGGAGATTTAGTTGTAAATAAGACTCTATAGCCATGAAAACATAACAATGCTATGGCAAAAAGTATGTAAATCAATGGTCCAAATGTAACCCATATACAGGGTGATTGTCCACCACCTAAAATGGAATTAATAGTTACCATTTTTTTTTTAATTAATAGTTATCATTTTTTTTCTAAACCCTACCAAGAAAAACGCTCATAGTATGTTGTCCATATATAATGCAGCTACAGTTTTTATCAATACATTGATCCAAAGTTTTGTACCAGTGATTCCATGCAATTCCTGTTGATATGCTAGAAATACCTCCTGTAATTACACATATCAGATATGCAAGGGACAACCTTTTCTCTGAAGAAAGTTGATCCATTTTCTAAAATAGTTTAAATTTTTTGTACTTCTAAACAAAGCAGCCCTACATAAACTTGTCAGATAAAACCATATTTATAACATAACATTAGGTTATTGTTGTGTTTTTCTTATCAATAATCTTATCCATTATGATAAAAAGTTTTCATACCTGAACCAAATTCTATGAATGATTTATAAAACACGTTAGAATTATGAATCACAAATTTACAACTTCAAAACCTTAAAAAAACAACTGTTTGTGTGTTGGTGTTGTGTTTTTGTCAATATTTACAATATTTAGCAATCTTGACATCCGACATCTGACTCGATCACACCTTTATTTGGAGTTTCTTAAACAAAACGAACAACGATTGAAAGAAGAATCTTACGTTTTTGCGTTACACTTAATTTCGAATTGCTTAAATGTTATTCATCTCTTTTTAATTCAATAAATCCGCTATTTCTGTTTTTGTTTATTAATCTTCAAATTAATTTATCTCGTGTTTCCAAGTCAATCGAACAAATCATTACTCTTTTCATCAAATGACATTCATGTAGAATTTTCGTTTTCATAAATTAACAATAGAAAACAGTTCAGCTTATTCAAATTATATATAAAATTACATGATGTCTTCCTTAAACGATACAAATGATATTTATACTTCAAATTCTACAGGTAAGTTTTTAAACTAGTTTTAAAATTTATTATAACCTAATTGTTATATAAATTTGTAGCAACCTTCAGGCCCTTTTCATCACCATATCTAAATTATGATCCTGGATATATCCCTCAAGCTCAACCCGAATTTATATTTCTGGATGGCGCTAGCAAACAAAGAGGTAGATTCGAACTTGCTTTCGGCCAAATTGGTGGATCTTGTATGATAGGAGCAGCTTTAGGAGGTGCCACAGGATTTTATGCTGGGCTAAAAGCTACAACACTAGCAGGTCAAAGTGGAAAACTTAGAAGAACTCAGTAAGTGTTAATTTTTGGAAGTTATAACATTTTGCCAAAGTTGTTATGTGTTAGAAATTGTAAGAATTGTATTTTATTCACATTGATTTCATCTCGTTAAGATATATCTACCACTATTTCACTAATAAAAAAAATTATTGCAACTCTCGTGAAAAAGTATGTTACAAAAAAATAGAAATATGTATTTTTTAGATTAATAAATCACATTATGAAAAAAGGTAGTGCTACTGCCAACACATTTGGATCTGTTGCTGTGATATATTCAGCTTTTGGAGTATTTCTATCTTGGACTAGAGGGACTGATGATGATCTTAACACAATTGTAGCTGCAACTGCAACTGGATGTCTGTATAAATCAACAGGTATTATAAAGTCGATTTTATTAACATTTATAATTAGGAATGTTTAAATTAAAAGTGTAACGATATGCCTTTTTTCAGCTGGACTTAAAAAATGTGGATTAGGAGGTGCTGTGGGTCTGGGAGCATCCATTTTATATGCCCTTTGGAATAATAGAGATAAACTATCAGAATTACGGCAATATAATCCAGCGTAAGGTTTAATTTATAATTAAGGAAAACAAACAGGATAGTTATTTAATTTGAAATTAAATAAATAGAGATTTTCATAAAACTATTAGAAGTCATATTTAAATCTTACAAAAATTTAATGATAATTCTTAAAACATTACATTGAAATATATAGACTAAAATTTAACCAAGATATTGCTTTAGAACTCTTATTGGGTTTATCAAATAAAAAGAGCTAATATTTATTGTAGTTTTGTTATTTATTCTTGTATGGCAGAAATATAGTTTTATGGTAAAATATCTACCTAAATTACTTCACTGAGTGCACTGCACATTCTGTATGTTTTATAGGCTGTTTTTATTATTTTGCCTAAACTTACATATAAATAGAGTAGGGTAATTGTTGAATATTTTTTTGTTATATCATTTCAACTTTTGACTTAACTCATTTTATGTACTTTGTGCTGTGATCTTTTTCTTGTTTAAACATTGTTCATAACTAATGTGAAATTGTTTTTTTATATATAAAAAAAATAAAAAATTTAAAATTAATAATTCTTTTGACTATCAACTATTGAGCAAGAAACTTCAAGTGTTAAACTATAAAACTATTTATTGAAAAACTAGTACCAACAGGAGTTTATTACTATAAACATTTACCATTTATTAAAAAAAATATATATCTGAATAAAAAATGTACAATAAAATCATTGTAGTTATCAAATTTTAAAGATTAGCTATTTTGTTATATTGTATCATTCACTATTTAACCATTTTTGGTCAATTTAGTGTAGCTTTTCACTTGATTTTTCTCCTAGATTTGTTAGTTGATTTTCGTTTTTTTATTTTGACAGGCAAAGGTAGAGCAGAGTATGGAATTACTACAACGAAGTTCCTGAGTACCTTTTATTTATTCAAAAATGTACAAATTTTTAACACAATTTCCACTGTCAATATATTGGATTATGTTCTCTCTAAACTTGTAGAAATATATTTTAATAAATTATATCATTTTTCTGTATTGGAGAACATGTTGTGTATCTGTTATTGTGAAATCATTTAAGAACATAAGTATATAAAACAAGAATATATTTCAGTTTGTAAGTCTAAGACCAAAAATCTGAGTTAGTGGAAAAATCCTTAAAAAAGACTGCAAGGCTGTGTTACTATTATTTTGGTTTATGTTCCATTTGTGAAATAAAAAAAAGAAGCTTGACAGTATTTTTCTTTTAATCACTAGTAGCCCGCAAATAAAGAAAGCTGTCCCATTTTTACTTTTTTAATATTTTTAAATTCACTATAGACGTGGATGGTAATCGTTTTAAAAGTGGATATTATGTTTCACCTAAACAGAGGGGGTGGGGTTTTGCAGTATACCTACCATTGGAAAGATCAGAAAAAAATACAAATGTTTATAAAACTATTTTCATAAAATGGACTCGTTTACCTACTGGCTATATAAATTATAATGGTACCCTCAGTTATGTCAGAACTATCTACTTTTAAACCGAATTAAATAGCGATTTTTTTATTCTGGTGCATTAATCAGTTGCTGTTTTTTTTATTCATTACTCCCTTTAGCACTATTGAAATACAGCAACAGAAATTACATTTTAAAAATTTACTTCTAAAAATACAGACACCGCTGATGTTTTCTAATTCACCAAAATCTGACTAATACTGATCATAAATTATATTGTTGTCTTATTTTAAAGCAAGAAAGCTCACATGCATAATAGTCCCTCATCTCACTGCAAAAAGTGGCACGTCGTGTTTTTTGCTTACTATTTGTAGTTTGGCACAGGGGAGGGGTTGACCAACATGTACTATGTTCCGGTGGTGGGAGCTGTCGAATTCAAAGTAAAGTTGCTTATCGATGGATTGTTTATGCTTCTAAACGACTATAACAAAAATAATCCCTTTGCAAGCATTTTCTGTTGTCCGGTTTTGCTATTTCCGTGAAATTCGGGTTATAATTAAAATAGTTTGTTCTGTACTTAAGATGATATTGCAAGCATTTTTAGTGTCTGCGAAAAGGTTGATATGTAAAAAACATTGTAACCTTAAAATAGCTGTAAAATCGAAACCAATAGTCTGACTCTCAACTAGGAGTATTGCCCTTGCAAGTTATTGTGAGCTAATTTTTCTTTGTTATAGTTTTTGTGCGTCACTGTTTAGACGGGGTTTGTATGCTATTGATTCCGTGTTGAATATTGGCTTGGCTGTTGTATCTTCTATAGTTGATCCTATGGTTAAGACAACTGTATCATTAGCGAATATGGATAATTTTATATTTTCTATCTCTGGAATGCCATAGGTCACCTATAATAAATATAATACTGGCCCAAGAACACTTCCCTGTGAGACGCCAGCATTTATTGACTCGAGTTCAGAGTATTCGTTTTCCATTTAACTTTAAAGTTTTGCAGCGATGGATATTATTCTAGTAGCTGGACATATTGCATCGAAAACAATTTCTTTATTTTAAATAGTAGACCTTGATGCCACACTTTATCGAAGGCTTTTGAGATATCAAGAAATACTGCGGAACAATTTTTTTTTTCTAGAGAATTCTCAAGTAATATACTATAAGACCTCTTGATATAGCTATTTTGGTTGAATCTAAATCTCGGGAATATTTTAATATCAATTTGATGAGACATAATTTTTATCATTAATAATCATTAATGCCAAAAATATGTAGAATGAAATTGTAAAATGTTCGAAAAATTTAGAAAACAAAAATAGCAGAATATTAATCAAGGTCGTGTTATATTTGAGACGACTATTTCACTAGACCAAATAATAACTATTTCTCAAGAGAAATAGTCGCTGATATTTGGTCTAGCGAGATAGTGACGTACATAATTTTTACCCTTTAGGTAAAGCATACCCATAAAAATTGAGTTCGTATCCAACTTAACAAAGATATCTATTTTCAAAAACGTCAAAACTTTGAAAGGATCTGGCATTTCTTTGTCTAATGATTTAACCCCACAACAAAGGGAATCTTACAATAAACTAAAACCTTACTTGGCTCATTTTCGTAAACAGGAAGAATATTCAAAATGTTATATTAAAAATAACAAATTGGTGTTAGACAACAACTCTTACAGCTTAGAAGATCTGAGAGAAGTACCTCTTACAGAAGCCTAAAAACCAAACAGCGCACCGGCCACTCTCAATTCATCGAGGATAAATGAAGAGGAACAAATCATAGCGGCTGAAATCGAAATTAAAAAACAAATTGTAAACAAACCAAGGACCCGCTTTGGTTCAACAACCACAAAATAAATTTTAATGATTTTATCTTTTTTATGTTATACATAGTGATTATTATAAATTTTAAAATTTGTTTTTAATTATAACGGTTTTCTATATTTGTGTGTTACTATACAGGGTGGACCGGATTTAATTTGCGTATACAGAGATCTCGTAAACCGTAAGATATACATTGTCGGTTAAATGGGGAAAAGTTTCGTATTTTGACGGGTAATACAATGGTCCATAGAAGTTCCAGAATTTCTGACTGATTCCGGAGATATTCGATAAAATCCGAAGAACCTCATTTTCGTTTTTTAAGTCGTGCGTTGTTATTATAAAAGATACAAAAAAAAATTATACGAAGTTTTTGTTATAAATCAAGTTCCCTATAATCTGCCATGTCAAAATTTTTATTACGACGTTTCGTATTTGCATGGCCACCTTCAACTTATTTTTTTAAATACGGACCTGGATTTTTAACTGTAATTTTTTATAGCTTTTGTATAGCTAAACACAACGATATGTTACACTTTACCATTTTACTACGTTTCGTCTATGAAAATATCATCAGCTATGTAGCTTCTGATGATACCGTCCAGGTCCGTATTTAAAAAAATAAGTTGAAGGTGGCCATGCAAATACGAAACGTCGTAATAAAAATTTTGACATGGCAGATTATAGGGAACTTGATTTATAACAAAAACTTTGTATAATTTTTTTTTGTATCTTTTATAATAACAACGCACGACTTAAAAAACAAAAATGAGGTTTTTCGGATTTTATCGAATATCTCCGGAACCAGTCAGAAAATCTGAAACTTCTATAGACCATTGTATTATCCGTCAAAATGCGAAACTTTTTCCCCATTTAACCGACAATGTATATCTTACGGTTTACGAGATCTCTGTATACGCAAATTAAATCCGGTCCACCCTGTATAGTAGTGGTTATTCAGGTTGGACACTAAAAATGGATCCATTTATAGAAGAGTATAGCTGTAATGATTTTCCTACTGTTGTATTAAATAATATAGCCGAGTACAATTCTCATAACAAATTACAAAACGCTTTTACTCTTTTTCACCAAAACATTAGAAGCATCTCATAAAATTTGCAAAACCTAGAGACTACCCTGAATAATTTTACTACCTGTTTTGATTGCATTGTTCTTACTGAAACAAGAAATGATTTCGACATGAACCTCTGTCAACTGGATGGATTCGAAATGATTTTTAACTTTGGTGATATAAATATAAATGCGATGGAACAGTTATATATCTAAGATACTACCTAAATTATACTTCAAAAATTACCAAAGTCAATAAGTGCAAAGCAATTAATATTCAAACTACTAAAGGAAATAAAGAGATCACAATAACAGCATTATATAGACCACCGTTTACTAACGATAAAGATTATGTAGATGAACTATATAATTTTTTAACGAAACAAAGTAACAGTGACTTCCACATTATTGTTGGAGACATAAACATTAACCTCCTCTCGAAAGAAAAATTGGTTAATGACTACCTAAATGTGATGAATGAATTCACCTTTGCTTCTACAATCAATACATACACTCGTATTCAAGGAAATTCAAAATCTTGTTTGGATCATATATTTTTTAAATTTAAAGCAGGTAACCTCTTAGATAATAATTGTTCTAGCTATGTTCTTGATACATTAGTAAATGATCATAGAGCAACTATTTTTAACTGGAATGTATTTGAAAAAAGTGAAAAATGTATAACATTTAATTACAAAAAACAATCAACACAAGGAAGCTTAAAACAGATTTAAAATGGTTTGACTGGTCTAATTTGTATAATATAACCGATGCTCAAGAAACTGCATCTTATTTTTTAAATACAGTAAGGACCGATTCCACCGTTGTGTTAAACAAAGTTTAAAATGACATTTTTACATTAACAATGTCATTTTAATCTCCGTTTAACACAACGGTGGAATCGGCCCTTAATGATTTTATAAATAAAGATACAATTAAAGTTAAACAAACGAAAAAAACCGTAAAGAAAAAGGAGTGGATAACAAGTGGCATAATGAAATCAATACTAGAAAGAGACAGGTTATATAAAAAGTTTTTATAATTTTAATAATAATTTTTTATATATATAGAAACAAACTACGTAATTTGATTAGCGTAACAAAACTAAAATATCACAAAAGTCAAATTGAAAAAATAAATTTAATTCAAAAAACTTGTGGAAAACTATAAACAACATAACAAATTCTAATCCTAAATATTCGAATATTAAAGAAATAACATTGCTAAATAATACTAAATCTAAAAACAAATTAGAAATCGCCGAGACATTAAACACATTTTTTACAAACATTGGACCTAATCTTGCTAAACAAATTCAAAAACCTCCGCATTTTCGTTTAAAGAGGCGAATTAATAAAAATTCAATTTTCCTGAAGCCAGTCTCTGAAACAGAAATACTTCAATTAATCAATTCATTAAAAAATAATAAAGCTCTCGGTAGTGATAAAATAAAAGCAGAAGTACTTAAAGAAACTTGCACTGAACTAGCTTCGCCACTATGTTTTCTGATCAATAAATTGATTTCAAATGGATTTTGTCCATCTGAATTTAAAGTCGCAATCATAAAGCCTATTCACAAAAAAGGTGATAAAAGTATATCTTCAAACTATAGGCCAATTTCATTAATTAATAATTTTGCAAAATTATTCGAAAAAGTCATAAAAGTCAGACTTGAATCATTCCTAATTAGCGAATAAATTTTATCACCAAACCAGTTTGGTTTTCAAACGGGGAAATCCACAGAAGATGCTATATCTGCATTAATTTCAAAAATGTATGAAGCTGTTGCACATACGAAACCGGCAATTGGAGTATTCTTGGATCTTGCCAAGGCGTTCGATACTGTGGATCATAGTTGTTGGACGCTTTGGAGGATTCAGGAATACGTGGAACAGCTTTAAAACTATTCAAGTCATACCTTGATAATCGTACACAATATGTAAAAGTAGATAATTTTGTAAGTTCAGAACAAGTTGTGAAATGTGGTGTTCCCTAAGGAACGGTGCTGGGTCCCATCCTTTTATTTTATATTTGAATAACTTACTAGCTTTAAACATTACTGGAACCATTTATAGTTTTGCTGATGATACAGTATTATTTTATACCGCTGAGACATGGTCAGTTTTAAAAAACAAAATAGAGGACGACATGAAGAGTATTTTTGATTGGTTTGTCATTTATTAACAATTAATTATGAAAAAACTATGTTTCTTCCTGTTTGTAGTTATAGTAATGGGATGCCTGATTAGCGTGACTTAGAAATTTATAATCAACACACAAAAACCATCATAAAAATTAAACTTACTGAAAATATAAAATATCTTGGTGTAATTTTAGATAGCCATTTAAGATGGGATCACCATATAAATAACGTTACCAAAACCTTAAGATCCTTTCTTGGGCGATTTAAATATCTGTCGAAAGTTCTAGATCTAGCTTATTTAAAAATGCTCTACTATGCATTGGTAGAGTCTAGATTATCCTATGGTATTTTAGCTTGGGGTGGAACTGTAGACCTATCTGGATAAACTACAAATACTACAGAAATATTTTTTAAAAATAATATTAGGAAAAAACAGGACTTACCCTTCGGACCAGCTCTACCATGAGGCATTTGTATTGGACCTTCGCCAAACTGTTTTTTTTAAACTCTAACTTACTTATTTAAACATAAAAAAACATTTCATATAATTTCTCATTCATATACAACAAGAGCTAAAAGTAATAATAATCTTGTAGTTCCGAACGCACAAAAAACAATTGGACAAAGAAATTTTAAATATTTAGCACCTCGTTTCTACAACTTTTTACCAGATTATTTTAAAAACTCATACTCATCAAACCATTTTAAAAAAAGCATTAAGTTTTCTTTGTTATCCAATGATAGACAACTAATTTCTCACTTTTTTCAATTCTCTAATTAATGCGTTCTTTTACCAATTTGTTGTTCTTAATATTTGTTGTTCTTAATATTTGTTGTTTTTAATATTTATTATGTGTCTTATTATTGTGTTTTAATCCATTAGTTTTAATTCAATATTTTTAATTTATTAATTTTAAATAATAATATTATGAAATACCATAATTACATAATTATATTTTTTATATGTTACGGTTTCAAATATAACTGATACCACGGAAGCCCGCTGGCTTTGTGGTTCTCTAGTTTATTAGTAATTGTATTGTATAACTAAATTGTATAGTAAAATTTTATTGTAAATTATTATTCTTGCTGATAAACATTATTATTATCATTATTATTATAGTCAATTTTATTTATTATGGGACAGATCTGATCAATCGTAGAATGTTTCTTCCCGAAATCCGAATTAATGGGACGATATAGTTGTTTTTTGTCGATTATATGTTATTCTTTATTCTCGAAAAATCCAGAAAAGCTTAAAATTGAACGTTTTAATTTACAGTGTTGGGTGTATACATTCAGTAAAAAAGAGTCTCGTCAAATTTCAATATAGGCCGAAAATGTATCCTTATATTGCGGCCATAACATCAAATATTATTTAAAAAATTCCTACAACCACTTACAATAGAAATTAAGTTCTGAAATTCAGCAAATGTTTTTACATTTTTTTTATTAGTCAATGGATTTTGAAAACACTAGGTATTTTTATTACTATTTAAAACGATTTTCTTATCTGTATTTTAATAATAGTAAAATAAAACAATGCAAATCGTATTAAAAATAAAGTGTTTTCAAAACCCATAAAAAACTCTGCTGAATTTCAGCTCTTAATTTCTATTCGTCTAGTTTCTAGTTGTAGGAATTTTTTAAATAATATTTAATTTTACGTCCGCAATTCACCCTATATATACATTTTAGGCCAATGTTGAAATTTGATAATATATTCACTCATTGTTAGGAGTATTGGGGAGTGATTAGATATTTATTCCTCAACATCTTCCATCTTTATAACATTTGCTGCAATATTTCTGGAAATAAAAAGTCCAGAAGGTCCGGTATTTTGTTTATATCGCTTGGCCAATATATAGGTTTTCCCGTGGCGCGCCACCTACTTACTTTTCTGATCTTTGATAGCCTCGCTCAGTTCTTTTCCTTTGGTTGTAGTAAGTCTTGAGCCACAGCAGACATTTTCTTGCATTAAAATTAGCACCTAAATTTTTCACCAAGACTTGATAAGAAGGTGTTGCAGTCTAGCTCTTTTGGGTGGAAGTTGGCAGATCCAATAAAGAGTACAGAAAAAGAGATTTATTTATTGTTACAGACGTCTAAAAGCATTTTATTACTATCAAAAAAAAATTCATCGGTAAGCAAATTTTATTTGAATTGACAGGTTACTCGACAGCCCACTCATCCAACTACAAATTGCAAGCAAAAAACACGATATTATGCCACTTTTTCCAGTCAGATGTTGCATTGCATGTAGAAAAACGTAGTAAAAGATAAACACGAATTTATTAGCAATTCTGTTGGTTTTTTAGATTAGCCATTTTGTGAAACTCTTGCAGAGAAAAAATAAATGTTTCTAAGATTCAACTATGTAATTGAAAATTATTAAATATTAAGGTCAAATTCATTTTTTTATACTTCTTTCATAATATATTATTTGTTGTTTCATTAAAAAATATGATTTATGTTATATTTTTAAATATTCAACTTTGATACATTCATATTTATTGTTTTGAATTTTTTAATTGGCACATATGTATCAAAATAATGTTTTTTAATGCAATTTCTGGAAATGTGAAAATATAATTCCCAAAGTGTCTAGCGCAACGATATTCACTTTACAGGCTTTTTTGGTTGACCGACACCGAGTTCAGATCCTAGACCAAAACTTGTGAATTTTTAATTAATATGCATGATTCGATGAAGGATTTGATGTGTGCTGTATTAGCAGTAATTTAATTATTTCTGTTGACATGACATACAGCTCATAAATCGCCGTGCGTTACCGTTTCGATGAAGATGGGTAGGTTATTTCCGAGTTTTCCTCGCCTATAGTCAACAAATAGCATAAATCATCTGTAAGTCGCACTGGAGCGTCACGGTAAATAATATTAATATGCGTCCCTTCCTTGGAGCTCTGTTAGATTTTGTAGTTAAAATTCACTCTTAAAAAGGGGGTGAATTATTCAGAGATTTTTTTTTTTTTTGTGTCATCGGCTTCAACTGCTAAGGTTATTTCGCCTCGTGTTCTGTGTAATTATTATTTTTACATTAATTCCCCCTACGAAATTAAGAAATGTATCCCCACAAACCCAAAGAAAAATTGACGAAGATAAGAAATAGAGAAAAGAAAAAAATGAATGCACCAGGCAGGGATAAGCCAGAGATCGAACTTGAATCTTCCGAATATAGTCCTCCGCGCCTGTATCATAGACCACCGTTTTTTAGTTCATTTTAAAATTAATTCATTCTAAAAAAATTAATATATAATGAAAAAAATTGTTTTGATATTGTACTTTTTATTCTAACTTCATCTTTTACAATAAAGTCGAGTTAAGAAATAATACAATACTCATCCTATGCCCACCTGGTTGCCTAATATTTGGCGCAACCATATGAATAAAAGAAGGCAAAAATTTCAACGTTGGCAAGTTGTCTCTGTTGGCAACGTTGTATTAATTGTTAACGTCAAAAGAAGAAAAACCTGAAATATGTTAATGTAAACAAAAATAACCTATATGTGTTTGAATTTGAAATATTTAAAAAATGGACGATTTAAGACCACATCAAATTGAATTACAACAACTTGGTGAGCTAGCTGGAATTCATATGGATTTCAAAGTGTTTAGGTAAGACATTCATTTAAAGGTAAATATGGTAAAGGCACCAGTCTTATCTTTTTAGAAAAAATTACTTTTTACGCTCTTTTCATAGTTATAAAGTACTCTCTCCTAAGCTTACTAAACGGTTTAACCACCAAGAAAGGGTAACATAGTCCTTACCTATATTTAGGTACAAAAAAATTTAGCTTATAAAATTTGATATTTGTGATTTTGTGCCCAACCACGAATAATTAGGTACCTACTACACTAATTTTGCAAGCATTCACAGTGTTATTATGGGAGAGTACATTAGAGTCTTATTACAAGGATTGTTTATATTTATAAAAAATAATTTATTGTACCTACAAACAGGTTGTTAAACCCCAATTAGAGGACACATACAAAATTGTACTAGATACAATAAAAAATAACCTAAAAGTAAGAGCTTCGTGCTTCACATATTAATACCTAGGAGGTAAACTGCACTATGTCGACAGTGCAATTTTATAAAAGTTATATTTTTAAACCCAGCTCATTGAGACCTTTCCAGAGTTTACTACACCATGTATTAGTGATGTCACAATAAAAATTAGCCAAAAAATATAACACTTAAAACTATATAAAACAATGCTTTGTACACATAGTGTTTTTAACTCTAATTTTAGTCATAATATTCTTAGAGGCATGTTGGAGATATAGGACGCTATGTCATAAAAACCAACAATTTATGCAAATTATAAAAAATATGAAGTTTTATTAGTTATACTAGTAAACAGTACATAAATATTGTGATAATTGGATCTAGCTACATTTCTTGTCGAAATATAATAAATATATGTAATTATGGAGCACAAGTGTTCAAACAACATTTAATCTGCTCTACTGAAATGTTAACTAGAATGACAGTGCAGTTTACCTCCGAGGTACTGATATTCAACCTAACATCTAACTAGAATGAAGATATATAATGCTTGGCATTCTATATAATACTCTTCACAGTTTAACAGACCCCATTTTCAATCAGATTTTTTTCAGAATCAATGATTTCAATTTGATAATTTTTTTTTTTGTTAGTGATTTTTTCAATATTTCAACCCCTTTTCTCATCCCATTTTTATTCAGTTTTTTTTTTAGAATCAATGGCTTCATTTCCTCCTTGATTTTTACAATTTCATGTTGATATCGCTTGTCATTTTTGATTTGATTTTTTTTTTATTTCAACCCCTCTTAAATCTCTCCATTTTTAATCAGATTTTATTCAAAATCGAAGGGTTTTTTCCCCTTAAAAGCTTGATATTTACTAAAAATTTCAAGTTGATATCTTTTTTCGTTTTTGAGTTAATTTTTTTTTTTAATATATCAACCCCCCTCAACATCTCATTTTAATTCAGATTTTTTAAGAATCAATAGGCTTTATCTTCTTATAGAGCTTGATTTTCCTAAAAATTTGAAGTTGATATAATTTTTTGTTCTTGAGTTAGGTTTTTTTTTAAATATTTCAACCCTTCTTAACCCCTCCATTTTTATTCAGATTTTTCAAAATTAATAGGCTTTGTCCCCTTATTGAGCTTGATTTTTCCTGAAATTTTCAAATTGATATCTATTTTCGTTATTGACTTATCGTGCGGACAAAAAATGTGACGCTGTTTTGTTATTTTCTGGTTGCAACTATTATTGTAGCTGAAGGTGTAAACCAGGAATCATATTATTTAATTCATAATATGCGTTCTCACACCTCAGATAAACAAACTCACACAAACCATCCCCACTCAATTTAGCAGCTGTCTCACTATTTATAATGCGGCAGCCAAACTAACAGCCGATGTGATCGCTTTGTCTGCCTAATATAAAACATAATCTGAATGCTTGTAATGAATAAGGATTTAATTAAGAATTAATGGATTAGTCTAGTAGTTTTTTGTCCTTTCTTTTACTGTTTTACCGATATACCTAGTTATAATATTTAAACTAAAATTCGATATTTTCAAAAGGCGAGTTTTGAGTTCTGCAATAAAAATGAATTTTATAGTCTTTATTTAGATCAGTAGTAATGTTTAAATTAATTGTAGTAATAAAATTTACAAATTTTTAATCCATAAAACTAGGTAGTGTTGTATATTTTGTATAATTTTCATTTTCAGATTGATTATAGAATTACTTAATATGGGTTACAATGCAGATATCATCTACAGTTTATTAAAAATCATTAAAAGGTCTCGAAATCCAAAAACAAGAGCAGCTGTAGCATCTCAACCAAAAACACTTTCTCAGAAAGTAAAAAATGCAAATGAGAAAAAATCTTAGCAATAACCATTGTTTATTTTTCTGTAATATTTCAGCAGTGTGTATAAATTGTTATTTTTGATCCTTTACAAAACATAATTTTTTTAATCCTGTAATTCAAATAAATATTTTATATTGCCACCTTAATCTAAAAAAATATTTTTTTTCATGGAGTTTGTAAATTATTGGTTTAAAAAATATGTTACGTATTCAGGTGTTCATGAGATCTCAATTTGAAGAAATGCCTTTTCAAATAAGATAGTTTGCAACAGGCTTATTTATATAAAATAAAATATTTTTTAGAATAGTGTTATATTTTAATATATGCCTGTTCTCTTAATTTGTTTCATATACAAAGGGTATCCCAGGACTTTGTTTCAATGAATCTTGTTTTCATAGATAAAAACTTTTAAAGTACATGTTTTAATTTAAGCTTAGCTCGATTTTAACGAACTTTTGGTGGTTTGTGCAACATATGAATTATGGCTGTTTTAACATGAGGAAGGGCGGTATGATGTCCTAAAATCTTGGGCGACCTATGCATCACAGCTGGAAAGAGGTTAGTTCATTTTTTACTTCTGCCTTGAAGTTTAAAGTTACCAAATTAAAAACAATATCTAAATAAATATAATTTATTTAAAATATATACATCTCACACATACATTACAAATTAATAGATTAAAAACAATAAATTATGTTATAACAACTACACTTACACTGTGAGACCTGTTTAAAATAAGCTGTTACGCAGTATTTAAAAGTCGTGAAAAGTCCAAACAAGAAGAAAAATCAGGGTGAAAATCTTTGAAAACTTATGTAAATCTCTTCCCACTTTACAGATTGTTAAATTTTAATGTTGGCTTATGTAGAATAAGCTATCAAAAATAAACCATCAGATAGATAACAATAGGTAATTAAATTAGTTTTTATGATGGAAGATATATAAGTTTTGCAACCGTGATTCGACATTTTCTGTTTGGTTTATCTTCACATCAAATTATGCATCTCTCTCAATAAAAGTCAGAATAATAAATTTAACAGTAATTGTATAATTTTAATATACCTTCTCATAGTGTAAACGTTTTAAAAGTACCAATATTTGGTTTAGGGCCGATTTCTTCACCTCTTAGTAAAGTTACATGAAGGTTTACTTGACAGATTAATGAACAATAGCCCTATACTTTAATCAGCAAGCAGTTACTTTCAACCTCACTCAGAGGTGAAAAAACTGGCACTTAATTTAAAAAATATTTTAATTTAATTAATTAACAAACTTTGTATCACATCACAGCTCGAGAATACAATATCTCAAAAAAATGTAAGGAGATCTTTTAATAGGTACATAATCAAAAATCCAAAATTAAAGACGATACATCAGTGCAAGGAATAAATCTGTTTTTATTTAATGAAAGTGATATGTAATGTAAACATTCCCTAATGCAATGTTCACTCTAAAATTTAGTAGGGATCATAAAAAAAATATATAGAACCAAAATTTCTATAAGTAATTAAGTGTTTATTTATATCCTATTTTTATTAATTTAATTATCTGGTACAGGTACATAATGTTTATAATATAATAGATGATAAAACTTTATACTTGCACTGTTGAATAGCTTGTTATTTCATTTCATAAGATAGCTCCAGTTTGATACAAAAACGGAGCTGAACTTTGTTGCTAATATAACTAAAGTAAATTACTCTACAAAAAATTAATCGTGATTAACAAAAAATCAATTACTCAAAAATAATACTGTTTTCACTAATAAAATTAACTACCTACTTTTTTTATAAAAATATGTTAATTCTGAAAATATATTATCTCTTTCTACATTTAATAGTTACACATAATAATTTTACTATTGAAAGATGAACACCTTACAATTCTTATCTAAGACATTATCGTTTGGGGGGTTAAATAGGATTTTCCGGAACACCACCAGACTTTATAGATCTTCTAGACCTATTAAGCATACTGGATCTCACTTGACCCCTAAATGATGCTCCCCTATTTGAAGCTCTAATGGAACCTGCCCTGTAGAATTCTTCAACCGTCTCCACTTCTTTTTTCCTATAACAGATATATTATTATACATAAAGTTTTAAATTACGTAGATAACTAACGAAGATCTACATATCACAACTCTGGTGAAAATGGAAATTTTTACAGGGTGTTAATTAAGTATGTGCCTTAACTTTAAGGAACGATTCTTTGAGGGATGCTAAGACGAAAAGTTCATATAAACATGGGTCAGCAAATGTTTCGTTTAAAAAAAAAAATATCGGTTTTTCGTAATATCATAAATACCCTTTAGCTGCCCAATAAACACAGTTAATCGGCACCGTAATTGGGCCGAAGGAGGCTTGTCGAATGCCGTACTCGGGTGCAGCTTCGGCATATAGGTAGGGCATGTCCGCCCAGCCGAATGTCGGCAGCCCATTACATTGTAGCCGCGTTTATATATCTATATATATTTCGGCCCGTAAGGATGCTCCCATGCTCGGCTAGCCAAATATACACCGCGTTCGGCTCGTAAGGATGCCTTCCATGTCTGCAAAGCCAAATATGGACCAGATACGGTTTCTACTTCTAAATTACGTCAAATGGTACGGTACTCCCGGCTCAGAATGAACCCCGACAACGGCAATCCGAGTACTCGGCTTACTGTACATGCCGGTATCAGGCCGAGCGAATGCCAACTATTTGTGGTTTATTGGGTGATTTTCTTGAAATTTGGCAAAATTATTTATAGTGTTAAGAAGCTAATTTAGACCTAAGATTACATTTATTGAATCTAGTGGCGTCCCGGTGGCCTCTTAACAAAAATGACTGATTTAAAAAATTAATGCTCTGGCGGTTTTGGAATTTTTATATTTTTTTCTGTTTACGCAACTAAAAATACAAAATTTTTTATCTCTTGAATTTTTTTTGTATCATTCTCTCCTATGGCATGACGTATTCCTAGAAAAGTATATGCCTAATCACGGAAGACAATGTCCTACGATTTGTCATTATTAGACTGGACATCCTCTCCTGCTTTAAAGCAACTCGCGCTAAATAAGTAAGCGCCCAAATGCAGTACATTATGTCCCAAGACATTTATCCGTTATGAAGGCAATAGCTTCGTTCGGGAGACGATCCCGAACGTATTCTGAACGCTAAGGTATACCATACACCCCTATATAAACATTTAAACAATACTGTCATGAAATTCCTGAAGCCTACCCTGTGTCTAAAGCAAGGCGACCTTTAGCTGGCCTCGACTCATGCTCGAGGCGACGGAATGTTCTGGGAATGCCGCTGAGGCTCGAGAAACGGGTAGAACGGGCGAAGTATGCCGTTGAATCAGAGGTGGAATTTTCGAAAGCCCCTGGAGTCTTCTAGTAGCAGAGTTGGACTTAATATAAATAGCCGGCTCATCGGCGCACAGTTTAGTTTAGTTCAGAGTATTGGAATGAAAAGTTAAAGTGTAATAAATAAATTAGAATTGTTAGTTAGTGTCTAAGTATTATATAAATTAAATAGTACGTCTTAAATAAATTGTAAATAGTGTGTTTTAAATAAACTATAAATAAATTAGACTATCGACATAAAACAAATCCAGTTATAATAGCGGTGTAATTTTTATATTAGCGTTAGGAATCAGTTCAGGATTGTTACCGCGAACGAAGTTATTCTCTGGCTGTTTGGCGTGATCGTGTTGTTTATTTCAGTTTGCCGTCATCGTGTCTTGTGGTTAGTTCGTATAGCAATTACATGCCACGCAGTTTAAGGTAACGTTTGGGAAGGCGAGACCGAGACCGATTTCAAGCGTAAAGCGACATCAAAGGAGACCGAAAACGGTCTCTTCACGTCTAAAACACATTTGGGAGGGCGCGACCGACGACAGCTGTTTTATCACGGTAGGATTTGCTGCTTGCTGCCTATCGCTTGAAGTCGGTCTCGGTCGCGCCTTCCCAAATGGTACCTTTAGTTCATTTATAAGGTTAACCCGAAATGAAGGAAAGTGCTAAGAGTATGTTAACGCAATAATTCAATAATAATAGTGCACTATGCGATTGCCCATATGGTCAAGGAAGTCGAAAAACAACCTCCACAAAAAGTTCACTTATGTGCGATCCAAGAGCGTTTTTCGCTGATGCTCAACGTTTACACTGGCTAAACTGGCTTTGGGAAATAAAGCATCTGTAGATTTCTATGTAGTAGTGTTGCATAAACATCGATAGTCAGAGCTTTTGATAGTATCGATAATTTTTGATATAGTTAAAAAAAATGTCGTTTTTGAAAAAATTTAACAAGGTAACTAGCCTGTATTTGTGGATGAGACGTGGGTATATAGCAAGGAAAGTTAAAGAAAAAGTTGGCAAAATGGAATGAAGGCTACTGCAAGTAGAAAAACAGGAGATGGAATTCGATACATAATTGTCCATGGTAATAAAGAAGGGTTTATAAAAAAATGCAGACCTCATATTTAAAAGTCAAATAAAAAGCGGGGATCACCATAATACTAGGAATGGTTGAAGATGAAATTTAGACCTAGTCTGGAACATCATTCTTTGATTATAATCGATAATGCCAGTTATCATTCGCGGATATGTGGAACCAATTCCATGTAATAGTTGGACAAAAAATTAAATGGTAAAATGGTTGCAGTATGAAGTTTTGTACGTTAAAATCTACCACGAAAAGAATTCCACCTAGATATGTTGAGAAATATGGGCATAAAATATTAAGAACTCCTCCATATTACTGCCAGTACAATGCAATAGAGATGGTGTGGTCACAGTGCAAACGATTTTATGACGAACAATTTTTAATAAAGTCGTCACCGGAAGATATATTTCAGACTTGGTGAATAATTTTATCGATACTCAGTGGGACAATTATGTAAGACACACTAAAAACATAATTGTTTCCGATTGGAAAAAATACAACCAATTAGATGTTTCTGATCTAGAACCAATTATTAATATTCTAGGTACAACGGCAAGGTGATGCGTCTGAATCAGAGTCAAGTTGTGAAGAAAATGATATTGATTAAAAACATTTATATGAGTTGTCCAATAAATATTTTATGTTCCTCTTGTTATATTTTTTTAACAAAGAATCTCTTTTACGATATTGCACCTGTTTTAGATTATCTTAAAAAACTCAAAAAACTATGAAATTAATTTATTAAGTACGAAAGTAAATTGTTCTAGTATTTATAAACAAAATGTAAAACGTAATCTTAATTTTTTCAAAGTGACTTCTTGTATTCGTGTAAACGCACCTTAATAAAGTTTACGATGCTAAGCAGCAACAAAGCGCAACTGAAATAAGACACGTGCAAACTGTAACTAAAAATACGATACTCTTTTATCAAAGGACTTGGGGTATTTCAATCACTTTACATACTCTTTATACAACTACATGTTCTTTTACTCAAACATACTCGTTTATCAAACATTAATTACATACTCATTACTCATCTATTTAATTACCTATTCATTTACTCCAAATGTATTCGTTTACTCAAACTTACTAGTTTACTCAAACATACTCGTTTACTCGCTCATTTGCTCAACTATACATACTCTTTTGTTTAATTGCACACATTACTCGATTACTGATATACTTAATAAATATTTACTGACATATTCATTCGCTGATTTACTCAATACATACTTGTTCATTCATTTATTCCAATACGCTCTTATTCAGTTACTCATTTATCTACTTTATACTTGTTTATTTACTCACATGCCTATATACTCGTTCATTCGCTACTAACTTTGCACTTCTCTATAGAGCCTCGTCGATGCTGATACAAGATATTTTCGCATATTATATTTATCTAGGGTAATACAAAAATCCCTCAAACTCTCATAGGATAGCTATATCCAATATCTTCTCTAATCTAAATATCACTTTCACATTTTCTTTTTCCTCATAATAGGACATTCTCGATTCACTATACTCATTTTACGACTTTTTCACATTTTATACAGGGTGACCTTCTAATAAGACACTCTCAGTTCCTTATACCCTCATTACAATTTTTTCATATTTTATACATGGTGGTCTTCTCAGAAGACACTCTCGGGTCCTTCTATTCTCATTACAATTTTTTCATATTTTTCACAGGGTGGTCTCATAAGACATTAAAACCTTTTTTTATTTCAAACATTCTTAGCACTTATATCTACATAATTTATTCATGCTCGCCTTATGTTAACACTTTCAAACAAAGTCAATTTACATGTACCTACTATTTTTCACAAAAAGTAAGCTTATGTACATTAGGTCATAGAGACGGGGCTAGGAAACTGATTTGGGACGTTTCCGCTAGCAGGTCTAAAGTGATGCCATTGCAACATATTCACACTTTTTCTTCTCTTTCGTGTATCGTTTAAACAATTTTTTTAGTCACCGCATACTGGGTAACGTAACATTATTATTTTATAAATATGCATACAATATTTTGAGTTCAATCACAATTTAGCTTACTTTCGTGGCGGAGGATGTTGAATAAACATTCAACATATTATATTTAATTTAAAATACAGAACAATTAGGTATATTTGAATTAAAATACAGAACCTAGGCCGCCTCTGGCACAACTCGAAGACGTTACGTCATTTTCGTCACACACGATTAGTTAGAATCCCACACTACATCAAGAAGCCATCCCGCTTGATTCGCTTCACACGGCACTTCACATTACGAATCTCATTAAACGAAACATCTCGTTTCTTGAACAGGCGTTAGGTCTCCATGTTTAAATTTGTTCTATAAAATTGAAATTACACACTCATTGATGTGATACATTTTCTTTAGTGACAGTGCTTCACTAAGGTCACAAATTTAGTCTAGTGTTGTGTTGTAAAAGTTATACTGTGTATTTACAAGATTAAATGGAGTTTAAATGTTGCCCGGCATTTATTTCATCACAATGTATGAAAACCAGTGCTGTCTCTTACTAGATTGCTGTAGTCGAATGAATTTATTAACGAATTTAAGGGGAAATCAGTTATTCTTCTACTGTTACAATTAATTGAAGACCCAGAACACTTGCATTTGAATACATTTAAACCGGCATCTGCAATAAGGTAGTATAATAGGTGTAATAATAGAAATTAACTCGCATTGGAGGATCCAATTAGTCGTTTAAGTCGTTTAAGATCATTTTAAAAAAGATTTAAATCTTATTTTGATAACAAAGATCAAAGATACTTTTCAAGGTTTAAATTAAAATCACAAAAATAATTTAAATTCCACTGCGTATTATGACAGCTCTGTTTGTAGTAGATATTGCCCTTCATAACTGGCAAATATTTCTGAACATAATCTACTGCATTCAGGCCCTTCAATATTCAGTGCGACTTATCATAACTCAGGAGAGAATGTCCAGTCTAATAATTGCAAATCGTGGGGTATTTCATGGTCTAAATTAGCTTCTTAACACTATAAATAATTTTGTAAAATTTCAAGAAAATCGGCTAAACGGTATAATATGAAAAACAGATTTTTTTCAAAAAACTTTAGACGAAACATTTGCCGACCCATGTTTATATAAACTTTTTAGCTTAGCATCACTTCCTTAAAGTTAAGGCACATACTTAATTAACACCTTGTGTAGGTAGTCCTCCACACTATCAGCTGATTGATTGCAAGAACATTCATTAAAATGCATCGGTCTGATAAACTTAACAGAGCTTGAGAACGTAATAAGTCTAAATATCTGCCAAAGTTTATTAGACGACTCGTAAATTTCAATGAACGTTATTATGTGTTTGCCCTAAATTTTGGTCTATTACAATTATTAAAATAATTGAACATATAGATAAACATCTTCTGGTTGACTTATTAACACGATTATCAAGAAACAAGTACTTACTGTACGCAGGGGAAATCCCAAAGTTTTTGCCCCAAACCAAAGTTTTCTCCATCTTGTAATGTTTGTGGTAATTCTTGATCGAGAGTTTCTGGCAGAAAGAGTGCCAGTAGTCCACCCAAAATTCCTAATACTCCTAAAATTAATAGAGGCAGTGATGTTGAAATGTTAGCCTAGAATTAAAAAAATAAAATCAAATAGAGAATTTACCAAATCGATAATAAAATCTTACCAAATATACAACGAAGGGAGCTATAATACTAGCCACGTATCCCATAATATGGATTAAAGCTACTCCTTGAGCTCTAACAACAGTTGGCAATATTTCAGCGGCATATTGCAGTCCAATGTTATAGGAAATGTTTATAGCAAATCTACCCATAATAGCTAAAGTCGCTGAAGGAAGACCTAAATTAAAAAAATCAATTAGATAATCTTGTATGAATATAACTGTAGGGATAGAACTAACGGGTAAAAAATAAATGTATAAACTACTAAATAAAATGTGCATATTTCTATCGCAAATGAAATTTTATATCCCAGGTCATGTCATTCGCCCTAAAAACAAATTTTTCTTTATACCAAAAGACATGCTGCTATTGGATAATATCTGCTGCATATATAACAACCACAATATACCTTTAAATCTGGATATATTTAACATATCACTTAAAAGGTTCACCTGTTAAAATTAGAACTCTGATAGAGATTTAAATATTATATAAAAAAGATTCATTGTGAAACATACCTACCTAGCATGTATAATATATTATTTATATTTCTAATAGAGCATTAGTAGATGCAAGTAGTTAAAAGTTTTTAAATTATTTTTGTTTTTGTTCTTATATATTTTTTTTCTCTTTTTTATTAACTTAATTTTTAAGGATGGATGGAGCATTGGTAAATGCATTTAGTTGTAAGTTTATTTTTCTAAGAAGAACATGTAATGAGGTTACAAAACCTGTCTGTTTTCTGTTAAATAAATAAATAAACTATCCACATCTCGAATGAAAGAATAAAATCTCAAAATCAATACCACCTATAAATGTATTGTTCTTACATAAATACAGTTGCGACTAGTTTCAGCCTCAATTATTTTGCCTGAAGATGGCCTCATGAGGAATGAGTCGCACTTGTATTTATGTAAGGACAATAAATTATTTTTTTTTTCATTATTTTGAGATTTTATTCATTCATCAACAGAAAAAAAAGGCTATATAAATCATTTTTTTCTTCACACTCATGTGTCCCTCTGCTTTCCTCCTTAAGGGATCCAGATTCACATCAAGGAGTTCAAGCATGGCGGCATTACAGCCGTATGTGCGTTTTATTGTACTACCATTTGGAAGCCCTTTATTTCACTCATTTTTGACAAATCTCTTATACGACTGATAAAATTTGGTACAATATTTAATTTTAGGTTTTAGGCCATGAAGAACTTTACATGAGGAATTACTTTTTTCCTAAAATGAATAATAAAAAAGTTTTGCATATGCCGCCAACTTATGTAGACGGTTGGCGACATATGAGAAACTTTTTTATTACTAATTTCTGGAATAAAAAAATATGTACTCTGACCTAAAATCATTTTTTTGACAACCCCCTTATACGACTTATAAAATTTGATATATGATGGTGTATTTTAGGTTTTAGATCATGCACAATTTTTTATGTAGAATACATTTTTTTTGATAAAACTAAGTTACATTAAAAAAGTTTTCCTTATGTAGCCAACTTACGTAGACAGCACTGTATATATTACATCCGATAAGTACTGGCGTAAAAGTACTACGTCAAGATGATAATTTTCAGTGTTTTGGGCTCTTCTACTAAAAAAAATTGAGAACCGCTACGCTACCCAAATCTTAAGCTCCTAGATATACAGTGTGTAAAGTATGGAATACATTCATTATTTTCTGAACCAAAAAAATTTCAAAAAACTGAAAGACGTCGATTTCTAATATTAATTTTCAGCAAAGTACAAAAAAAATTCATTATACAGCAGTGGCGGCTGTGGGCACTAGTGTCAGTGGGGCACACACTGGAAAGGAATCCCGGGAGTCGTTTTTCCCTTAGGAAAACAAGTTCTCCGCTTAATGAAAATTAAATATATTTCAAAACAATCAGTTGGGGGTAATAACGATTTCTGAATGTGACTACAGGGAGCTAAATGTGACCACTCAAAATGCATTTAACTATGTATGTGGCTATTTAATCAAAAAATCATTACATATCCACTCTTGCGAAATTTGCGTAAATTTCTCAGAAGAATGCAATTTACTTAACAATTCTAACTTGTTAACGCATTTTAAAGCATACGACTCTGAAGAAAAGGTGTTTGGCAATTTAAAATCTCCCAACGAAAAATGTCTCTTTTATATTTTCAAATTAGAAAAAATATTTATATCTATTTGATAGCTTGTCAACTAAGCCTGGAATTTCCAACGCATACCTTTTTGAGATGAGCAAAATAGAATTTGGTCATCCTTGCCAACAATTTGCGAAAATGTACACCATTAAATTATTTATAAGACTTAGAATTTTTTATACTCTAAAATATGCAAACAGAGATTTGAAATCCTCGAAAAGGTCAGACAAAATCAAAAGAAAAATAAAAATTTTGTCCCATTTATAAATATTATTGATTTTTTTTTCATCATATTTTTGACTGCTTTATAAAAAAAAGTTATTTTTCTTTAGTTTTATTTCTTAACTATTCCAATGGTCCAACTAACGTTTTTTCGTAATTATTATCATGGTCCAACAAACTCGCACCTTAAACCGCTGCGTACATTCGTATCTGGTCCAATCACATACTTTGATTACTATACGGAGCAAGAGAGAGGTCCGACACGCCCAACATAGGGCGCGGCCATTTTGATGCCTTTACCACAGTTTATAGCTAAAGAATCAGTTCGCTCACTCTGCGTCGGCACTTTTGATCTCAATGTTCCAGTTTATACACTGCGCAAATCGGATAATACAATATATGACAACCGTCTATAATAAAACAGCAGTCCTCTGCGCATCCTGAATTTGTATCCCTGGAGTGGATGTTATTTTGGAACTTTCAACTGGTCCGAGTGAGCTAACTGATTCTTTAGCAATAAACTGTGACTACAAAAATAATATTCACTGACACTGACAGCAGCAAGCAAAATATCAGGTGCGTTTTAATCATCCGCTTCTGCTTCCGGAATTGTCGGTTTAGTCGTTTTAACCTGTCAGATTAAAACAAGAAAACCGACAATTCCGAAGCAGAAGCGGATGATTAAAATGCACCTATTAAAAATATTGCGCCAAGATGTAGGCAACACGTAATAAGGCATCAAAATGGCGGAGTTTTATATCTCTTTTAAAAGGCACTCAGCGCAGTGCTACCATTCTCCGTATAGTAAGAGAAAATTAAAGTATGTGGGTCCAATGAACTGGAGTGGGGTAGAATGCTTGTCAATAGACTTGATGTTCAACTCTATGGGCGAAGATAGGTTATTTTTCATCTTACTCGGGAGTATTTAAAATAACCATTTTCTATTTCACATTGTTATTGTCTGATCCACCAGCTTGTGGATTGAACAATAACAATGTGAAACAGAAAATGGTTATTATAAATAGTCCCGAGTGAGATGAAAAATAAAAATGGCTGCGCCCATAGAGTCGCACCTAGTTCTAATAGTACAATATGTACATTGGCATTCTACCCCCCTCCAGTTCATTGATCTGGTCTAGGCACGGTCTCGGTAATCTATGCCATGGGTAAAGCACGTCACGCTGAGGACAGCGCCCTGCTTGTGACGTATAATCCATGTGTTCATCTCTTGCTAAGCGATATTGTCGTTGTCCTTGTTTTTCGTATCATAATGAGAGAGAAAACAACAGAGGCACGCATTTACTGTGCCCATCTTCCACTTAATTTCGGAATTCTCGGAATGTTGCTCAACGCCCGGTCGTCCAGTGTCGTGCCAACGCGGTTTGCGCTGAATATTAGATAAAATAATAATAGGCATTGAGGAAAATATAAAATATGTAAGTTTTTTTTTGGTTTATTATACTAGAGCACGTGCCCAAGTGCCGTTACGGGCAAACGCCACTGTTATACAGGACGATCTAGACTAATGTAATGACGTCGTAAACATTTTTTTAAATATCATACTTGGTGACATTTTTAGATTATTCCTAACGAACTGATTCCGATAAAATACGATACTTAGGATCTAATTGACAGTTTTATGGTTTCAACAGGATGGGTCGCGTACCCATTATGCCTTGTAGTTGTTCGAAAATATCTTGATTTTCCTAACCGGTGAATTGGTAGACGTGGACACATTGAATGGCCAGCGAGGTCGCCAGACCTAAATCCTATGGAATATTATTTACAAAATGAAACCAGAAAATATTCAAAAATTAAAAAAGAGAATCAGAACAGAAATAAACAATATTTTTCAAGGTTTAACAAGAATTTATTTAACGTTTAGGGCACTTTAAAATACAAGAGCTACAGTTCGAACTTTTAAAATAAAGTCAACTATTACTGGCTTAGTTTCGATTGTTTAAATTATTAATTAAAAATGATTACAATTTATTTTCTAAGCGTGTATCTTTCAAATTATCATTATCAAATTAGACCCTAAGTATCATTCTTTATCGGAATCAACTCGTTAAAAGTAATGTAAAAATGTCACCAAATACAGGGTATTGTATTAAAAAAAAAATGCCGATACTGTCATTACATTAATGTGAATCACCCTCTATAACGATTTTTTTTAAATGCAGAAAGTTTAAATTAGAAATCGACATGTTTCAGATTTTTTGGAAAATATTTTTGGTTTAGGAATTTATTCCATACTTTAGGCACACACTGTATAGAAATGACAGCACTTAACAGAAACTTGATAATATAGAATTTGCATCAGACTGTCTAAAATTGTGTGTCTACCGCACAGTATGTATCTTTTTTTTTGTTGAAGAGGAAATTCTTATGGACCCTAGGTGCTTGTTTCAATTGCACATGGGAATGTGGGACTCCGGCTGTGTCTAGTGGCTTAATCTTTTAGGTACATATATATTTTTTAAGTTATTACCTAAAGGAACTGTAGTAGCTAGTAGACTGAAAATTCCGCTCACTATCATGGATCCAGCAGCTAACCATCTCCTTCCCCAGACATCTAGCACCATAGTCAAAAACGTATCTGCGGGAAATTCTGTAGCACTTGCAATTGTAAACGTTAAAAAAATATCTAAACCTAAAGTCTCCACGTTTCTTACGTGTCCATCGAAAACCAGTGAAATTGCCATCCAGAGAAAGACCAAAATTATTGTTATTTTACGCAATCTTGGTGTTTTGAATAAATCGAGAACCGTGTAAGTTCTGTCAGCGTCTTCTTCTTTCTGAGCTTTTGCACAAGAACTCTAAAACAAGAATAAAAATGCTAAGAGTTGTATTTCTATACTTTATAAAAAATGTATTTAAGTATATAATACTACTGTTCAAAATTATCGCATCACTCTATAGTTTAGGTTTAGGTAATGTTCTCCTCTCATAAGAAATATGTAAAACATTGCATCATCTATGACTGGAGAAGAGTAATATTCTCAGATGAAACAAAAATAATATTTAAGAAGTGGTGCAAGTTGAAACATACATCAAAATTCCGTTACGTAAGAGCTTTGAATAATGCAATAATTAATAACAGCAGTATTTTAAATAATCTGGTGCAAAAAAGTATGGTACATATTTTTTTCTATTTTGCATAGCGTAATTTATCACTCTGTACCATTATTATTGTTTCTAAAAGATTTTTAAGTATTTAAAACAAAAAAGTAACCTTAATCTCAATTTTAAAAAGATTAAATTTATATTGTTGCGACTACCGAAACAAAAGCGTCTCAAAATAAGACAAGAACAAAAAATTATAATATTGGTAGGTAATAATGCTTTTATAATGGTGTTTTACAGAATATCAACCTTCAGCTAAATATCAAGATGAATTAAATAGGCAATAATAACTTTACATTTGAAATGAATTTAGTTTAAAGTGGTTAATTTATTGGCTGTTTTTGTTCTTCTTTAGAAAAGTTTGGTTTCTTTAATATTGAATTAACCAATAAAATAATGTGGTAGAGGAATTTGAAGATGAACTGGAGATAATGTGAAGGAAGATATTATTGGGAACCTTGAATTTCTTGAAAATAAGTGTTAGCGATATTTATCTGAACTTACAGAAGAAGAGTGGGAGTGGTTTTTCAACGCTTCTTCTTATTAAAACAAAGAAGCAGACTAAATATTGAAGTCGACATGGTTGGTTGTAAGCATCGATATAGAATAAGGTAGAGACGACATAAACACTACATTAAACACTATATTGCAATATGACAGATAGACGCACTTATCGATGCCAAGACTGACCGAAAAGTATAGTCAAAATGGCGACGAGTCGTACTTTGATTTATTTGAAGTCTATAATTTTATATTTGAAGATTGACGGAATGAAAAATGGTTTATATCATTTAAATAAAGCTATTTTTAAAAAAATGCATTTATTCTCATCAAAACTGACTAGGTCTACTAGCTCAAGTTTGACACATGACGTAAAAATGTATTGCAAAAGTGCGGGCACTTTTAGTATTGTAATAGCATCTCCTCTTTATTCTATCTCAACGGTTGTAAGAAACACTCAGCAATGAATTTTGAAGCTTGTTACCCAAATCGCTGTCTGTTCTTTAAACAGACAACGCCAAAATGTAAGTACAACCACATCGCATTAAATATTAATGAATTCTTTATTAGGTTTATTAAATATTACGCTTGGGTTATATTCCGAAAAATCTATTTTTAGTAAGTTTTCTTTATCCTATTGAAAATTCCATTTTATACAAATGTAGCGGAGGTTAGGTTACTTGGCAATTGTAGGTAACAGGGAGTCGCGACTCGAAAATGTTGGGAACCACTGCTCTAGAGGCTGCACAATGGGTCTAATTAGACTCAAGGTGCCACTTATTTTCTAACTTATTCATATTACTACGAATCGTACCGTAAAGAAACTTACTTTGAATTGGTCGTAAACTTTTTCGGTTACATTTGTTTTGTTGATCCTTTCAAATTTTCTTAAAATACCTATTGCTTTTTCCGTTTTACCTTGTGACACCAACCACCTAAAAATAACATTTAATGCCTAAAGATTGTGTTTATGTTTAATGTATAAGTTTAATTAGAACATCCGTGAGAAACATTTGTTTATATGGATCCAGAAAAAATGTTTTAAAGCAGGTCCTCGAAAAATTCAGACATGTAGTAGCGTACAATTTTTTTTTAAGTGTCAGTTTGGATTTAATTCAGGGCCTTGCATAGTAATCAAGGTCGTGGCTTACTTTAGAAACATTTTTTGTGGATCATTCTTTATAGTTTCCATTAGTATAAAAAGTATGTTAAGAAATAATGAATCAAACTAAATTTAATATAAGGGACCTACGTAACGCTTCTTTTTGCTGTTTTAACCACACGAAATGTTAATGATTTAGTAGAAATTTATGTCTTCTTTCTCATTTTATTTTGTACAAAATGTCATACTAGAAATCTTAGCACATCCCAAATAAAATACCTGGGTGCACCGTTGTAACAGACAAATATTATATATAACGTTATCTGGATCTGAAAAAAATGTATTTTGAAAAATTTTGATAGCTTTTTCGTCCAGTATTTCGATTTTACAAAATGGTAAGTTTTTTGTAGTTAGAGATGCAGCTCCAGATATGATTAATTTTCCCAAATTTAAGTCTTTAACAGTTTAAAAAATATTATTTTTGAAAATTCGATGGGTACTCCTAATTCTCTTAATTGATGAGACTTAATTCATGAGCCCCTAATAACTACTCATGCCTATGAATTAAAAGCACGTTGTCGTGTAAAGAAGAATCTTCATTGTAAGTTCTGACATGCGTGATTTATGTCATGGCTCACTCGTTACTATCATAGAAACCCTATTGTTTTTAAATGTTAACATTAGAAAAAATATAATACCTCGCAGATTCTGGAACAAGCCATGGTGTAAATATGGCTAATGCTAGAGGAGCTGAAGTAACGTAGCACAGAAGTCTCCAATCTGCTAAATAGTAAGCTATCCATGGTAGAATAGAGGCAGCAAAAGTAAAGAACAATGCTATTGACATGTTGGCTACAAACGTTCTCCATTTAGGTCCGACGTACTCCAAAACTAAAAATAAATTCAATTCATGAATAATTTGTATCATAATTTATAAATGACTGCTATTAACAAAACTGCATGCAATCAGAGTGGAAAAGTCAATATCCAATGATGGTTGATGCAACGGATTACAGAACACATAACGTGATACATTATGTGATACTGTTCCAAAGGTGAAGTAAATGGTGACTAAAAAATTTTAGTACTCCGATTAATACCAAATCTTAAATACTTTTTGGCATTTAAAGAAGAAATGTTATTTCTTTTTTTTTTATTTTACGATTTAATGACTTACCTAAAATGTACATCATTGTGAAACAATTGTCAAATGCCATTCCGACGAGAAATCTACAAACACAAAAAATCCAAAAGGAATTGCAATACGCTGTAGCAATACCGCCTATAAATCCCACGATGTTGGTACCCACAAGTGCTGGTATTCGACCAAATCTGTCAGCCATCCAACCAAAAATAAGACCTCCTAAAATGGCACCACAAAAAAAGATAGATTGGGCAGTAGTTGGTAAGGCGGCATTTTCACAAACCCAGTTTTGCTAAAACAATAATAAATCTTCAGGTATTCTAAATGTAAATCGTATTTAACAAGCAATATCATATCACGTAAGTTCTTTCATCACTTGGTATTTATATATGGTGTGTTAATACACTCCCAAGTAACACAGAAAGTCGTGGGAACCTATCGGCCACTATAAAAGCCACGATTAAGTGGACCGCTATCATAAACGATCACGTTCCTGCTACATGGTAGCTACGTAGCCGCCACTAAAATGGGGAATCATCGGATATTGTTCCGACTAGTCCTGGTCCTTATAGATATACGTTTAGTTACTATAAAGGATCGGGGTAGGAGCGGGTACTACTCGGCGCAGGGTTGCCAGAATATATTTTTGTTATGTACCAGATTTGTTTGAGAAATGTACCAGATTCCATAAAAATGTACGAAATTCTATGAATTGTACCATATTTTTCAAAATGTGATGTGAACACAAACAAGGAACCCAACAATATATTTTACCCGTCCAAATGGAAATAGGCTAAAAAAACAAAAAGTAGTAGATTTTGCTTCGAGTGTACTAGAGGACCAGATTCTTAAATAATGTACTAGTACAATTAATTGTACTAGACCTAGTACAATTAATTGTACTAGATCTAGTATAGTAACCGCTACATGGCTGCCTAGTAACTGCCACCATCACTTTTTAATTAATTAATATCTTTCAGCGACCTCTTTGTTCTCTTTTTCTATTATAATAATGGCGCAGTTATATATCTATCGTGTGTGGGCAAAGGAGTATATAAATTAGTTTCAGTCATCTATATTTAGTGGAAAACGTGAGATAAGTCAATACGTTCTATTAGGGTTGCTATTGAACTTGGACTTCATAATATAAATTACAAAAATACCTTTTTTTGGTGGGAAAATCAGTATAAATCGACTTATAAGACATAAAACATGGATTTACTCAGCTTCTAAATTTTTGACTTTTACTCCTTTGCGTTCCCACGATAGATGTTATACCAAACTTTTATAGCAACTTTTTCAAACCCAATTTACTTTTTTGATATCATACCTCTTAAACGATAAACTTTCAACTCGCCCTCAAAATAAACTGTTTTTGTAATTTTTTGACAAATTAAATAAAAAAGCACTATTAAAAAAAGTCAAATATTTTTTAGGGAAACATTTGGAATAGTTTCTAAACTTTTTAGCAATAACTAATAATGGCCGCCTATAACAAAGGTTATTTATTGTTTCGGCCTTTACTTGATGAAAATCCATTTTATCTTGAATGAGTAAAACCAAATTTGGTAGATTTTCACAAAAATTTATTTTAAAAAATAAAAAATAAAAATTAAAAACACTACACATGACATTTTTGGAAGTACAACTTCTTTTTCAAATGTGACTAATTTACAATTTTGTATCCAATATATATGCGAAATAATTGAACAAAACAAAGTACTTAAGAAAACATCAATAACATAACAAAATAAACTAACTATTTAAAGTAAATAAGGGTACTTAGGTAATTATGATATCAATCAAATAACAATAAGATAGTAACATTACCGGGATTATCTCACAGAAAACTAGGAAAGAGATTTAATAAGAGTGAGTTATTAATATCTAATTGATCATTGAGTAGGTTATCTGAATTTTTAAATCTATTTATTTCAAGTGTTTCTAAATGGTTTAGTTTATTGCCCTTATTTACTATATGTAAAATTTCAAAGTTGTCTGTAAAAGAATGATTTTCAGCTAAAATATGATTTGAGTAAGTAGAATTATTTTTGTTGTTTTGTATAGCTATTATAATGCTATAGCGCTATTCCGAACATTACAATAGCTATACAAAAAACAAAAATAATTCTACTTACTGAAATCATATTTTAGCTGAAAATCATTCTTTTACAGACAACTTTGAAATTTTACATATAGAAAATAAGGGCAATAAAGTAAACCATTTAGAAACACTTGAAATAAATAGATTTAAAAATTCAGATAACCTACTCAATGATCAATTAGATATTAATAACTCACCCTTATTAAATCTCTGACGATACGCATCTCTGCATACGGCTGTGTGTTACTTAAGCCGCGACCTAAAAGACATTGTGTCCCCTTACGTTGCTAAGGCAGCAAGAGACTAATCTCGGTGTCTATAACAACTCTTCCAATCCTAGTTGTAATTTTTTATTAATTTAGATATCCTACACAGATAGGTACCTATGATTTGGTCAAAATAATGAAATCTAAATATTATTTTGGGTTCGATTGTTTTCGATCTTCCTCAAAATTTGATTAACTGATTAACAGTGGCGTAGCGTGGAGCAAAGGGCGGAGGGAGCGAAGCTTTTTAGGGCGCTCTACCCTCTGTGGGGGAGCCCCAATTGTGCTCTAAACGCGCGGAGCGGTAGGGGGCGGTTGCCTCCCCCCTTTGCCCCTATACACTACACCACTGTTGATTAATACGCTAAATCGGTGATGTTGTAATTTTAGTTCCACTGACAATTGCAGTGACAGTAGACTTGTTTATTATTTTTAAGTACGTTTTGTTTACCTAAATTATTTTATAGCTTTTAAACTTTTATAAATATATTCATATAGTAAGTGTATAACATGCATCAAGTATATAATTGTTTAGTAACCAATTAGGTTAGGTAGAAAATGAGTGGGATAATCTCATCGCCTTCCACTGCGACCCACATGGATCTATTGTGGCTCATCTCTAACTTTAGTTCACCGTACAAGCTACACCTTTTGATGAAGGCTAGGGTTGAATTAGGTGAGACCTGTTTAAAGTTGGTAGGTTCAGTAGGATGAATCCGAAGAACTGGAACCTAGTTCTTTCCAAAGCGGAGCAGTTACATAGAATATGCTCTGTAGATTCGTCTTCCATGCTGCAGAATCGACAGTCCGATGTTTTTTACAGACTTATCCTTCTCATGCAGTAGAAATAACAATGTCCTGTCATCAGTCCCCTGAAAATGTGTACATATTTACTACTCTACTTCCGGATCTGAGCAGAGGTGTTCATGGAAGGGTCGTTTACAAATGCCTTCGAATAAGTTAGCCCTGGGGTATATCTCCAGTTTTGTGTTTGTTGGACCCTCCGTCCATTTTGAGATAATTCCTTTGCAATGCCCAGGAATGGTTCTGGTCCATAAACTCAGATTAGGTTCCTCTTTTAGCGAGCGCGTCGGCTTTTTCATTGCCCTTTATATCGCTAGTAACCAATTACATACATTTTTTATGACCTGTTAACAATATTTAGAAAAAACTAAAAAGAGTAAAAACGTGGAACCAAAATTACGTCACATTAATATGGCGAATTAAATCTAATCTATATAGGGTAGGTGTCTCAATGGTTATAGCCTTGACTTCCGGTCTCGGGTTCTAATACATAATACGAGTATGTATTATTCCCCACTCAACCATTCACTGTTACTTTTAAATAAACAGTGTTCCAAAAGTGACGATAAGAAACAGTAACAACCCCTTCGCAGAACACACATTAATAAAGAAAAAATTAAAGTAAGATTAATTAATTGGCTAGGTAGTACAAAAACCATAATAAATAAATATATTCATGTGTTTATTTTACTCTTTGTTAAATAAATAATTTCAATCTATATATTTTTTTTTAGAAATTAATTTCAACTGTATTTATTTTATGTATTACTAAATTTTGTGAAAGGAAGATAAATGAAAAATGCTTTTAAGTGCTTACTTGCTATCTTTCAATAAATATATTATCTTGTATTAAACTAATGCACTTTAGTGTACCACATGCTATTTTAGATGGATGCGGTGTTGTTAAGTTAACGGAATAGTAGTCTGTGCAACAAGAGTGGATATGATGGCCATATCGCACGAAGACGAAATTTGAGCACGACGCCGTAGGCGGAGTGCTCAATCGTCTGAGTGTGATGTGGACAATCCACTCGAGTTGTACAGTATATTTTTTCTACGACCCACTAACGAAAATTTACAAACAAAAAAAAATATTTTAGGTTATTAAGACAAAATGACTAATTTTAAAATAATTTATGACTTTTAATAAGTTTTAAAATAAAATAAAATAAACGAAAAAAAAAAAAGAAAAAAGTTCATTTCGTTTTTCCCCATCCGATAATCGAACTTCAATCTTCCTCGTGGAAGGCAAGAACGCTAACCACAAAACCACCTATCCTTTTATTTTTTTGCTTTAATACTCGTAATTAAATTAACTTCATATAGTTTTATTTAAATTAACAAATTATTTATAATTTTAGACGAAATAAAAAAAGAAATGCTATTATTTATTGATTCTACACAAGAATAACCCATTTTAATGTATGTTAAATCCACATACTTTGATTTTCTTCTACTATACGGAGAATGGTCGCACCGCGCAGCTTTCTGAGTGCCTTTTAAAAGGAGATAGAAAACTCCGCCATTTGGAACCCTTATTACGTGTTGCCTACATCTTGGCGCAATATTTTTAATAGTGCGTTTTAGTCATCCGCTTCTGCTTCGGAATTGTTAGTTTTCTTGTTTTAATCTGACAGGTTAAAACGACTAAACCGACAATTCCGGAAGCAGAAGCGGATGATTAAAACGCACCTGATATTTTGATTGCTGCTGTCAGTGTCAGTGAATATTATTTTTGAAGTAACAGTTTATTGCTAAAGAATCAGTTAGCTAACTCGGACCAGTTGAAAGTTCCAAAATAACATCCACTCCAGGGATACAAATTCAGGATACGCAGAAGACTGCTGTTTTATTATAGACGGTTGTCATATATTGTATTATCCGAGTTGCACAGTGTATAAACTGAAACATTGAGATCCAAAGTGCGGACGCAGAGTGAGCGATCTGATTCTTTAGCTGTAAACTGTGTCACAGGGTTCAAAATGGCCGCGCCCTATGTTGGGCGTGTCGGACCTCTCTCTTGCCTCGTATAGTAATCAAAGTATGTGGTTAAATCTCAATAACTAAAAAATATACTGACAATTAGTTTGACAGAATTGTTTAAAATTTGAAAAATAATAGCAGTCGGTTGATCAAAATATGAACGGTGATTGGTGGATTTCATTTTTTGCAGTGTTCTTACTACCTAGAATGGATATGAAATATATTCGTTCAGTTGAAGGAAATAGCATACTTTTTCGTTTTGTAATCTGTGCGTAGATAAGCTAATATCCATGTGGGTGTAGAAAAATATTATTTTTTGATTTAAAAATCCAAGATGACTGCCATAAGAAATAACAAGGTTATGGCAGATAACTCGAAAACAAAGGACAATTTGAAGAAACTCCTTCCACAGAAATATTCTTCAATAAAAAGTGTCTCAATAATATGAAATCAAATTAACTGATTAGCCGCCATTAATACAAAATCGTAATTATCAGTTTTTTTTTAAATAGGTCAAAAACTACATAACTTATAATTTTGAAAATGGATTCATAATCATCATTGAATTCTCTAAAACATTCCCCATTTAACTGATTTTATATTTCCTATATTAAGCGAGTTATCAATATAGAGACTCCAATTTGGGACGCATATATTTTGAAATACACTGTACATTTTGAAACACACTGCGTTTTTTTCTAAGATATTGTGTTGAACATGTTAAGCGCCACCACGTTGATTACAAAATAGGGTTGTTACATAGTACATTGATATTTTATTATTTTATAACAACTTATCACGATCACATTGATATTTTATTATTTTATAACAACTTATCAGGATCAAATCAGTAGTCTGGCTTTCCGGGCCATTGTTTATTAGCTTTCATATACAAACAAAAAACTGCTGCATACATCCGATACCATAGCATAAAATGAACCACTACATATATGTATCGCGATATAAGAATTGTACCTTATAGCGCTTAACGTGTATACATTTTGAGTGAAACTCCTTTCTATACTTATTGGCTACCTACAGTCAAAATAATAATCAAACCTCTGTAGAAATGGAAGCATATGGCACAACGCTGTGATTATATTCCCATCCATGTTGACAAGATACTGTTTTCCAAGACGGATCCGCTTTTTTGACACCATTTTTAATTACTTCCGTAAAATCGACATCATACATTAAACATTTTTCAAATCCATTACTTCCTCTTGGAATTGCCAAAGCCATCCTAGAACAAACAAAAATATACACATTAATTTTAAGTTCGGTATCACCTTGATCTACAAAATTAAGATTTATTTTAATTACACTGATTAATTATTGCTTATTTTTCATTTTGAAGTATTGCCATATAAATATAACTATTACTTATAGTACTTAAAGCAAGAAGGTGGAGACCGACCTCGAGTTTTTTTAAATCTCAAAATATTTCCTTCCGGTTGTTAAAAAAATATATCTAATTTTATCCATTTTACAAGGAAGTAAATTTTAAGCTGACGAAAAATAACCTAAAATAATATGTGACGACAATGCTACAATTTAATATATTTTAATTAGATCAATACATTGATTAGTAAATGAATATGAAATAATTATATCTATGGTTATTAAAAAAAGAGTATGTGAATGTGAAATCTATCTTTTCATACTAATTTATATAAACCAGTAGTTCTGAAGATTTTTTGCACATTTTATTTTTTTAAACTTCATATGTTAACCCTGCCACTGGTAAAGCCATAAATATAAACTTTCCCGTTTTATGAATTAAAAATTATTGTCACCACGTTTCAACTTGATACTAATTTTCTCAGTAGTTATTTAGGAAAAACATTTTTTTTTTGACTCCCTGTGTTTTTAAAATAATACCTTTTATTACCTACGTTATACGTTTTTAGATCTAATAAAATCAATTTTACAAGTCTTTAAACCTGGACATTTTTTCACTGATTATCGTTAATAAATCCAAAACAAAGAATCAGATACTCCTATGACCATATACAGGATGTTAGTATATTCGACCGACAGATAGTTCTCCTTAATTGATAAATTTTGATAGAGTAACTGAGATTCGGATGTTAAAAGTTTAAAATCAAAATTCTAAATTTGCCCTAAATCAAAAACGCCTTTCACTATTTTTTTTTTAAATTTGATAACCAAAATTATAATATTTTGATATAAACTAACTTTTAAAAAATTTAATTAGCGGCGCGCTATCAGATTTGGTGGCAACTTTTTCTCACTATTTTTTAAACCATCGGAACAAATATTATTTTTTATTTATTTATTTTCTTGATTCTCTGATAATTTTTAGTTAAAAATGGTGTAGAAATTTGCTTCTAAACAAAGGTACTTAGATAATTTGTAATATCTCAATATCTCTAAATGCTTATCTAGTAGGAACGTGTCACATTTTTAATAGTTTGTGTATTTGATAAGATCTTGGTAAATCAAATTTGAAAACAAATAGAGGGGTTTTTGATTTATGGAAAGTTTTGAATTTGAATTTTAGAATTTTAACTAAAAGGGCGTAAATAAGGGGGAAGTAATGGGGGGTAATTACCCCCCAAGCCATAGTCAAAATCATAAAAAAACGTTATATTAAACAAAAAAAGAGAGATCAAATAAATACAATAAAACAAAGAGTTTCTCAAATATAAAATACGTGTGGCACTCGGGGACTGCCGCGGTAAAGCTATTGCATAGCATTTTTTATCAACTTATGCAATTATAATTATTTATTTTATTTATGCAGTATTTTTTTCTTTGATATTAATTCAAGTTTTTTCTTTGATATTAATTTAAGTTACACTTTTTGAGCATGGTGACCGATAAGATAACAATTTTTTTCTTTTATTGAATAAATGAGAAGTTAATATTGTTTAAAATATTTTTATTATCTTACAATACATATAGGTTATTCAGGAATTTTTATCATTAAATCTATAGGTTTATGAAATAAGAAACATAAGTTTGAGACTTGATATCCTCTAAATATCTGGAAAATACCGCGTCGATGGTGGTCCCATATTTTGTTGTGGATTCTTGTGGATCATTATTCATTTTCAAATTCAATTTTTCCGAAATTGTGTCTAAAAGAAATAGAATCAGTTTTGAGCAGTTAGCAGCTAGTCTACACGCATACGTCTAGTCGCACGCACACAAACACCGTGCCGAAGTCTGCCGAACTGAAACGACGTTAGACGTGCACGGCTTTCAACGCCGTACCGCTGTGCCGGTCGGAGTGGGGGTGTTAGGTTTATTTTCGTTACGGAATTTCTTTTTCGATTTTTCGATATTTCAATTTTTCGATTTTTCGAGGGTGTTAGGTTTATTTTCGTTACGGAATTTCTTGATTCGGTCTATGCGCTCAAAGCCCGCGATAAAATCTATGCAATAGCTTAATAATGAAATAGTTAACACTAATAAAAATTAATATTTCATAAATCTTGCAAAAAAAAATTAATATCTAATATTTACGCCAGCCAGGAACATTTGTGATACCAATTTATTAGAAGCCAGAGAAAGCTCTTCTAGTTCTTGTATTGTATAAACGTTCCAGTCCGCAGACGTATATTTAACTATGCTTCATACTAATACGAATAGGGTCGGATAAAACCTTCCACGGCTTTCAAATATAAATAAATAAAAAATTAAAAACTTCATTACAAAACTCACTCTTTTTTTGAAAATACAGATATGAATTCTAGACGTTGCATTGTTACTATATTTTAAGATAACACGCTACGCATTCACCAATAATGTGAGAAGTGTTACCCCCCCCCCCCCCAAGAAAACAACCTAGCTGCGCGCTTGTGGATATTAAAATTAATTAATTAACGAGAGCTATTTGGGGTAGAACTCTAAAAAATAATTATAATCATTGATTTTTGTAATTAGGGGCTTGAATCACTAGTAATAGAGCAGGAAGAGTAGTTGGAAAGGCTTTTGGTAGGTGGAGAGATGGTGAACCTTAAACTCCGTCGGACGACTTCGAGAACTTCGCGGTAATGTTTGTTCGCCAGTGTCGTATCGTAAAATATAACAATTATACCAAACATTTTAAATGATTACCGGCGGAATCGGGCAATCGTATCTATTTATTCACAATTTAATAAACTATTTACGCTTCTATAATATAATTTTCTACGCCAATCTTTCGGGTTCACTTCGGTTAGCTCCGCGGCAAAACTGTCATCCTGCGTATGAAGTGGAAGAACTCCGAAAAGTCTTTACAACTTCTGTTCCTGCTCTACATACGTTATAGAAGAAACCACAACCGAACGTTATCATCGGCGACTCATATGGTACCACAGAACAGAAATTTGAAATTTGACTTGGGAGCCAACGTGTTAAGATCACAAGTGATAGTGACACTCGATCTACATATTTTTTTTGTTCGTATCGTCGATATTTTGCTGTAGAAAAAAATAATTTGACCTTTTATAAAGTTAAAAAAATTACTGTTCTTGTTGAGCTATTCATAGTTTATAGGTATTGTCATAATAGCTACTACTTGCACATTTCATATCTTTCTATCAGAGAGACCGAGATTTTTAAGATTAATTCACCAATCTATACAGGGGTGTCCCAAGTTATCGTTTACAGGCATTACTCTTATATTTGAAAGAATAAATCAATAACTGTTTTCAATGGTATTGCAATACTTTTTCAAAAATTTCATTTATTGTTTGTAAAAGAAAGTAACCCGAAACAAGCAAGTAAAAGAAAGTACATTTTCGTCAAGCTTGATCTAATTTATACCAACAAATACCTAATTTATTAAATTAGTTATTTTAAAATTTTTAATTGGATCTCCTCAAGAAGCTTTATAAAAATTTTAAATGTATGAAACATTAGACGCATAAATAATTTACCATCAATTATTTAACATGGGTCAAGGTATTAAAGAAAACAAAAATACTACTTTTTCACAAAATGAATTACCTATCCACATTAAATACCAAATTAACTAGATTAAAACTTGTGGTTTTCAGTCTAGTGGAACCGTTCACAAAATAAGAACTTTGTGATTAAAAAAACTCATTTCTCTTTAAGTTTTAATCTTATAAACAAATGATGTTTTAAAAAACCATTCAAATTATTAGTATTTTAAGTAAAATAAGATATTTCAACTCAAAAGTTTGATTGACGTGACCATGGTACAATTTTTTAGATATGGACATTCTTAACATTCTTAAAACATGCATGAAATTGATAATATATGCACAAATAATAATAGATTCAACAGTGACGGTCATATCTATTCGCAAAGGGGGGCCATGAGGCTCAGACCATATACATATATACAGGGTGTCTAATTAAGAATGGGACACAGAACAATTGAAGATTCTCTGCTTAAAAATGAGACGTTTAAACGGAACATTCTTGGATAAAATATTCGTTTCCGAAATACAGTTGAAAATTAAAAATCATTGCTACAATTTTTTTATTTCTTAGTATAATTTTAGTAAATTCGGTAAACATTTTTAGTGTCATAATAAACTTTGTTAGTGGTATACGGCATGGATAAGTAACACCTTTATACCCTCTAAATTTTACGCCACTGTCTAAAAACTTATTTTATACTATACTTCCAGATTTTTTAAACAAATCCTGTACTCTTGTTGGGAACTCAAAAAGTTATTGGCTTTCGAGATGCAAACTCAAAAGTGGGTATACTTCATTTTAATTTATTTTTAATTTTGGATTTTTTTTTAGATTATAATAGCCCAAGAGCCCACTGCAAATTTTTACCGTCATCTGATAACGAAATGAAACATACCCCAAAAGGATGGAAAAACATTTGGTATTATACGCCGACACTCGAACGGCGGATATAACTATTGAAATGTTATAAAGAGTTTCTAGACACTTGGAAACACACTATGCATAACAATTTTAGGTCCGCTAACACTTATTTAAAAAAAAAAATTTACCTTAAAATCCTGAAAATCTTTAAAATTTGTTGTTGGGTCTCCATCATAAAACAAATGTGAAATAAACCATTTTCACTGATTTCTTGTTGTAGAAACGGCTAATATCAATATAAAACCATTCATAGAGCAATAAACCGTACCAAATATTTTCATAAACGATCAAATTTTCTTATTTTTCATTTTAAGTTTGTTAGAAAAATAAATAAACATTAAATTATTTTTAATGACAATTGATGTGTCTAGTTTCTATAAATGCGGTGTTGCCAAATCGAGTAAGAAAACATATAAGTCA